AAAAAAAAAAAACGCGCTCTTGATCTTATGAGTATCGATTATCGAATCGATTGTCATTACCAAAGAAGTTCACTGGTTCTTCTCGTCACTTTCTCGTCTTCTTCTTTCTGATTTACGCGGTTTGAATGATTATAAATAAGTTGCCATTAGAAGAACCAGATCATCAGCAAAACAGAGTACAACATTGTACGACGCACAAATCAAAGTTAGCATCCATGGCTGTGAGTAGAAGAATTCACGTCGAATCGACAAAACGAAGAGGGATTTCTCGATCCACAGGGCCAAGGAAGCAGAAAGAATTGAGAATAAACACGAAGCGATTGAAAGTGGAGATGGCGGGGATCAGTAAAGATCAGAAACGAATTAGAAAAGACCAAACAGAAACACGAGGGAAGTTGGAACAAATTAAAGAGCAATGCGCCAGGTTGAGAGAGGAAACGGAGGTGATTGCGAAGCAGAAAGCTCGGAATCAGCTTCTGCTCGCTCTTGTATTCAAAATCCTCAAGGCTCGTGAAGCAGGGGACTTCACCACTGCAGTCAGTCTCACTCGGGCCCTCAGGTTTGTTTGTTTGTTTTTTTTTTTTTTCAACCCAACCCATTAATTTTTATTACGAGGACGTTTAAAAACATTTAAAAAATATTTATTTTAAAAATGCTATTTATCTTTCATAAATTTAATATTTTGCTTTAAAACCCGATCCCTTTAATCTTACTAGTTTCCCTACCGTAATTTTCTACGCTTTTATTTGCAGGGAGGTGATACAGAAGCAAGGAAACAAATAAAGGAATTGCAGTGATTGATAAATAAAGTCTCAGATTTGTGCTAAATAAAAATATGATAATTATTATAATAAGGTTTGGGTTTGCCTTTTTTTTGTTTTTTTTTAAGCGACAAACCAACTGGGTGTGAGAGAGAAGGAGAGTTTGGTGAATAAATGGTCAGTTAATCTAGAAGGTTTCCTCAAGATCACTGTACTTAAGTGTGATTGTATTTTTTTTTTTTTTAAGGCCTTGTAATTTGTTGAATGGTGTCAAAGTTCAAAATTATAGTAGTGTTGTGATGTTGTTTTAAAGTGTTGTAAAATTGTATAATTGTTAAACATTAATTGAAATTAATAATTTTACTACTATAACAAATTAATATCTGTTGTAATTCATACACTGTGAACTCACCCTTAATTTGTCCAAGAATTTGTGTTGTTGTAAATAACTCATAGCTGGCCAAAAATATATTTTTTTAAAATAAAAAGATGACTCCTAAATTGTGAAGTCCTATTCCAAGACTTAAAATTTAAATATTTATTTAAACTTTTAAACTCAAGGAAATAGGTTTATAAGAGGAATTTCATTTTAAATTAACTAATAAATACATTTTTTTTATCTTGTGACTCTAACTTAAAATCATTTACTTTTGTCGTAAAAAATTATTACTAAGTTATTTAACTTATTAATAATAAACATCTCTATTTATTTGCAATCTTTTTTTTTTCTTTTTATGACCATCAATCTTAATTAATTTATAATCAATAACATCAACAACTTAATCTCTATGTGTTTTAAGCATCAATTTAAATGATGATAATGTTACTGTTACAATGTTATATATGAGTTGCTCAATATGAGGATTTGAAATTAACAATTAATAGTTTCATGTAATCTAATGATTGATAATTATTATTATTAATAATTTTAAATTTTTTATTCATTGAATTAAATAAAACCACTATATCAAATAACCCTATAAAATTATAAGTTTACAACACATGTCATTGTATTATAAAAAAATGTAATGCGTTATTAAATAAAAATATATATAATATTATATATAAACTCTGATTGAAAAGAATTTATTATAAGATTATAAGTTTACAAGTGTCAATATTTTATTAAATGCATATAATATGTCATTAAATAAACATATATAATATTATGTGTAAACTTGGATTAAAAGAATTTATTATATAATGAGATATTATATTTTATATTTATATCATTTTTAATTAAAATATTTTGCTTTATAATGGAATAAGCTTAAATTGTTGGAAGAATGATGGATCAATTGGTAAGGGATTGGTTTCCTAATTTATTAATTAATGTTTAATTGCTCTTTAATTTTTATGTAAATAACTTGATTTTGACCGGATAAAAAACCAATTTAAGATTGTTAATTTCGTCCCATACCGGCCGGGTATATGCCCGTTTTGCCATTCAAGTGAAACGGTATTAATATGATTTTTGATCCAATCAAATTTCAGTTATGTCGGTCAAATTTTGACCCGCTGGTTATCTTGCGTACCGGTACATTACATTTCGAGCGATACAAATTGCAGGTCTGGAAAAAAGAACAAAAAGTCAAAATGATTGTCGCTTGACTTGCGTCTGTATAATCATAACATCCAAACCCTGTATCTAAGAGGGGGAAAGAGAACTCCACCATGCGGCCCCGATTGGCCGCGCCTCAACGAGGAAGTGGGGGATTGCTTATTTTGAAGTCAAATTTTTTATTGTTAATAATTTTTAATTTAATTATTAATTATTATTTTTGTCAAAAAAAAAAAATTGTTGGGATGAGGCCCAATACTCACTTTGGGCCACACATAGCAGGCCCAACTATGCGCCCACAGTCCCAAAAAGAGGAGACATATCTATGTGGGCAGCACCACGTGGGCCAATGAGATGCTCACGCGTGTAGATGCATGTCAGCATTTGGGGTTATAAATACCCTCCAACTACCTTTTAAGAAGGTAATTAATCTCTACGCTTCTCTTTCTGCAATTACTCCTTGAGAGCATCTCTTTCTAGAATATTGAGTATTGTTGACTTGAGCGTTGGAGTGTTTTCTCCGAGGAAACAACCTCGGGATTTTCAGGTGTAGAAGCAGTTGAAGACCTCAGCAGTGTTTGACTACGAAGCTGCTCAAACATAAATAAAATAAAAAAAGAGGAGGAAAGAGAATAGAAAGCTTATTGTACAATAAGCAAAGCAAATTTAAGGTTAAATCTACGGCAAACAAAGTAAATAAGGGAAAGGAACCAAAAAAAGAAAACGAAGTGAAGCAAACTAAACAAGATAAAGTCTACACTTGTATAAGAGAATAAAAGAGGAAACAAAACAAGACAGAAAGGAAGATGTCAGGAAGATGAAAAAGAAGGCAAGGGACTGGAAGGAAAGGGAGGAGCAAAAAACCATCAGAAGCCGGCGATCTGGAGGCAGAGACGAACTGTACATGTGAGCGATTTATGTGATGGGTTAGTATTTGTTTGTCTTATTTTTAAAAAATTAAAATAAAAAAATAATTAAAAATATTTTAATTTATGTTTTAAAAATAAAAAATTTTAATTTTTAAGAGGTAAAATAAAAAAATACAATTTCTTTACGTAATTTTGGAGTGAATGGAATAAATGGGTTGGTGGGAGTGAGTCAGGCAGGGACAAAAGAAGATCTTTCTTACGGACATAAAGTAAAGAAAAAAAAAAATTGTCATTGAAGATCGTAAAAAATGCTATTCGAAATTCTCCAATTAACGGCAATTCCTTTGTTATTTTTTTAAATTCTTCCATT